CTGCCTTCTCAACCCCTTTTCTGTGGTCTTTCGTGCCATGGCAGTATTTTAAGCTGTTTGGTTTAATCTTTTTGATGAGTAACAGTGCTTCCAGATCTGATATCATTATGCTAAACATGGKCATTACCATTAGAATTCTTCACATTTGAACTAATGCCTGTGGGAAGAATAGTAAGAGGGGGATAATGGAGGCAGTTGGGCCTCTGTCATTTGACATCTGATTCCAGTGCTGAGCTTTCCTCAGGGGACCAGGTTAAAAAACACGGATTTTTTTTTKCTAGAGTGCTCATTTTCATGCTCAAACTCAGTGTGACCTTAGCAAAACTATTGTAAGGACATTTCTTTCAAGCAGCTGCTTGCCATATTTTTGGAGGTGACCCTAAGRTAGCTTTAGTCAAGGGGGCTCAGACATTGATGGCAGCTTCCTGCGGGGGAGCAGGCTGAGAGAAAGCCTGTGCTGCTCTCTSTAGGTCCCTGCCAATAACCCAAAACATTCTGGATGCAGCTGCAGACCCTACAGCAGCTCTCTCTGCTCCCCCATCACATCTTGGGTGTCCAGAGCTCAGTGCCAGCCCACCCCTCTGCCCTCACTGGGGAATTATCTCTGCCTGAGGGACACTGCTTGGAGTGACACTGGGCTTACAGGGTCATGTCAGCAGTGGGAAGGGTTTTGTGTGAGCCCTACACCTTTTTGGCACTTATYTTGTCTGCCTGGAGGTAGGAAGAGAGCATTTTGAATCACATTTTATGGGTGGGTTCCCACGGCCRTGGTGATTTACCTGCAGGAGGTGGTCAGTGGGGGACACACGGCTGATCTCCACCTTGCTGGCCAGCCTCAGCCCTGCCACRGCCAGGCTTCTGTCAGGGAGCCCATGCACAATGATGCTCTCATAGCTGTACAGGTAGGTCTTGCCCATGTGGAAAACAGGCTCTGTCAGGAGAAAAGCATAACAGAAACACCTCCTTGGCTGTGGCTGATGTGAGGTTACTTGGGCCAGTCCAGCAAAGAAAGGTAATGCCACCACTGCCAAAACCATGTGCAAGGCAGGGCTGTCTGGGAGGGCAGCAAGGGAGCTGCTGGCTGAGAGGGGAGCACTTACCAAGGTCCTGCTTCTGGCCCCCTGTGAGGGAGGAAAGAGAAGTGTTCATGAAAAAAACCCATCTCTGCACAGCCTTCCATGTATTATTCATTTAGTCAGCGTGCTAATGGTTGGCAAACCACCAGGAACGGGGCTCACCCCACACCCCCAGGACACCAAGCCCATGCCAGCCCTGCTCACTAGCTGCTGCTTGCCTGGCTTGGCTCCTGCWGCTGAGCTTAGCACAGAAATCTAATAGCTTACAGCTGAAGCTATAAAAGGGCTGCAGCAAATGAAGCTGTAAATAYCCCTGAAAAGCCCCAAGGAGATGCAATTTGCTCAGGATCACAGAGGCTGTCACAGCTCGGCAGGGCTGGTAAAGCTCTGACTTACCCACGAGGGCGAACACCAGGGCCAGGATGAGTCCCTTCATGCTAAAAGTGACTGAAGACTGAAGGGGAAAATCTGGGGCTTTTATAGAAGAATTATTAACAGGCACGGTGAATTTTGTTGAGTTATCAACTTCTTATCAAGCACCCAGCAAACCCTTTGAGGGAGAGGGGGTTGGGGTCAGGGCAATGGATATTTTTGCTGAGCCAAAACCATCTCAGGAGTTGTTGCTCTCACTTCACCAACAAAATGCCTTGAAAGCACCTCTAGAAACAAACTTAAAAGTATTAAAACAGAGTTAAAGCCAACATTTATTATTGTGTAAGGAGAACTACTAATGATCCTCAGTCCCTGAAAGCACCTGATGCTGTTGCAGTCTGCGCTGACTTTGTGCAGGTTATCCTGACCTGGCCATAAGACACACAGCTTATCTAACTGATAGTGCCCCGGCAGGATTGTGCAAAGCCCTCCTGGGACACCGTGCCCACCCCTGCCCCGCTGCCAGTGGGACAGGCTGTCAGCACAGCACTGCTCTCTGGGGACAGGGACATCCCCCAGTGGCACAAACCTGCTGTCACTGTCACAAAAATGGCACAAACCTCCCGTCACTGTCAAGGCCATGGCTGAGTGCTGCTGACGTCTTTGCTCCCCTCACCTGCCTGCTCTTCCTGGGTGTGCCAGCCCCTCTCGCTGTGTCTTTAGCCACAGTGGAGTGCTGGCAAGGGGGAAGGGACGAGGCTGACAGGTGTTACAGACACAAATCTCTGGTTTAACAAAGATGGACAACGTGCAAATCACCCAGATTCTCTTCACATCAGAAAGCAAGGAGTAACGTCTGGTAGAGTCCCCTTCTCTCATCAGTGGGGATTTTCCCTGTCCCTTTGGAGGCAGCCCCACAGTCTCTCAGGCTGCTCTTGGCAGGGTTTGGCCTTGTTCCCGAGTCCCCCTGTTCCCTCCAGTCAGGTCACAGAGCTGCTCCATCAGGACCGGCACAAGGAGGGTGAAGGCAGCCCCAGCACCAAGGGGTTCACGTTGGCACCATGTGGCCACTGTTTGGCYACCAACCTTGTCCTTGGGTGGGGAACCAAAGCTGCTGCTGCCCAGCTTACTGTGGGAAGGGACTGCATTCAGTTTCTCATCAACAGACCAGTGGCTCCTATTCAAGATATTTAGKTTTTGTAGTGCTGTTTAGCTGATTTTTTTTTTTTTTTGATAATTAGCAGTTGGGGTTTAATTTGTAATGTCTGACAAACAGTGGATTTTTTTCTAGATCAGAGATTGCATCTGTAAGGCAAAAAAAAAAAGAAAATTGAAACATGACAAAACCTTCACTGTGTTTTTATTGGCACTATATTCAGGTCCTGGTTTTCTTAACCCCTTCCCGTGTAAAACTGGTAGCACATGATTGGAAAGCAAGCTATTTGCTAGAGAGTTGTGTYATGTCTGGAGATTTGGTAAATGTACTTCAAGGATTTGCGTGTACAGCCACTGGCCACTGGTACTCAGGCTCAAAAGCTGAGTGGTATATTATGGTATAACTACTGCAGCTGCAGAAGTCTGAGTTTTAAAAGAAACAAACCCCAGCTTGTAGGCAGTGAGGACTTGAGGTCAGTGGCAGTACAAGCAGAGAGCTGCTGTGATGGCAATATTAAATACAACATTGCTTGTGTTCTCACAATTGTAACAGTGTCACTGAAACACCACGCTCAAAATAAKGGTCAAACCCTCAGGATGAGGGTCCTCTCTGAGAGTTGCACAGGCTGTGCACAGCTGCAAGGGCAGGGTCTCCCCAAAACCTCCAGCAGTGCATTCTGCAGATTCTTATCCCCATCACACCCCATCCCTGGCTTTGGGCAGCAGATGCTGCATCCCCGCTCACCCCAGCCATGCTGCTCCCATGGGGCAGAGCCATCTGTCCTTCTGCCTCAAGGGTCACCTAAACTCCTGGTGAGGGCTTTAGTGATTTCTTTATAAAACTGAAACTTCTCATTTTCCTGGTMATTTCTTCAGTATCTCAAGAACAATTTCAGCTCCCAGCCATTGCCCCCATATACTCAGAGCCTTTTCACACTAATATTACTCAGAAGAACATAACTTGAATTAAAAAGAGAGAGGCAAAAACCCCAAAAATAAGAAAATTGTGAGGGGGTCAAACAATTTTGCTGAGCCCAGGACCTGCCCTGGACAACATTTCCCTGGAGCTGCTCCACAATGGCAGTGGGGAAAGGAGCAGAGGCTGATGGAGGGCTCTCCAGGCCTTCATGGGGTGGGCACTGGAGCCCACATGGCCCTGCAGCCCCACAGGTGCTCTGGCTGCCTCGATGGCTCGGTGATGCTCGCCCAGGGTCTCCTGTTAGGGTGATACTGCTGGGTCCATCACACCTCAATGCCAAGGCTGGAAGACAGCAATCCCCCAAAACCACACTCCACAGGCTGCCCCAACTGGGGCTGGGAGTTCATGACARCATCACCCATGGAGCCAGGCTCTGGGGGCCACAAAAAGCCCTGGATTCTGCTGGATTCAGCCTGAGGTTTCCTGTAGAGTCTGTGCTTTCTGTCCCTCCTCCGTGTGACTTTCAGGCGGGCAGCAAACCCACCAGCTCCTGGCTTTGCTGCTGCTGCCAGCCCCCGTCACTGCACAGTGCAGGTTACCATGGCAGCCTTTAAACTGCATGGAACCCTACCTTTACACCTTTCAGATATATTTGTTTTGGTGCTAAGGCCTTTACCTTTCTGAACTATAAAAACTCACATATGTACACCCACTGAAAGTGCAAAAGCTGCTGGGGAAAGCAAAACACACAATTTTTACAGAATGTGCTCAAGTGTTTTCAAAATCASATTCTCCCAGCGTGCACACTCAGCCTGCAAACACAGCCTTAAGCAGAAAACACCTTCAGGTCTGCTGGAATCCCTGGGCTCCAGCACTCAGGGCAGACACTGTGCCCACACAGACCCTGTGGTTTGGGGCAGAGCTCACCGCTGGTGGCTGCAGCAAGGAATCCTGCTGGGCACAGAGGTTGGGGCATCCCCTCAAAGTGCAGAGCTCTGGCTCTGTTTTAGACCCTGTGGCAGGTGGTGGGCTTGGGTAACCTGCCCTGTCCTGCTCAAAGACCCTGATTCACCGCAGCTTCTGCATGTGCTGCACCAGAAACTTTCTGTGTTCTTGGCTCCCGCAGAGCATCCTTGCCCAGGGAYACGAGATTCAGGCTTGTTCCCTGARCCTGCTGCTCCTTGCAGAGCTCTTGCCAAGCACCACGGCTGCGTGGCTGCTGCAGAGGGTGAGGAATCACACAGAGGTGATCTGTTCCTGCTCCAGGTGCCCAGGATCACAGCACAAGGGAAGGAAGCATTGGGGGAGCAAGCAGGAATAGCGGTACCACAGCTACCCAACCCAATTCCCAGTGACACCCTGGTGCACAGAAAATGATCACAAACTCAAGAAGTCTACAAAATAGCGGACAAGGAGAACCTATGCACACCTCCTCTTTCCATCCCCAGTGAAATAAGGAAGCCTTCACAGTTCTTTCCATGCATGGATTTATTATGAAATCAGATCTTTATGTGCAATCATAACATTTCTACAATAATAACGTTTAATACTTTAAATTACTTGGGAAGATTCCACACATCCTCAAGTACTTAATTTACTATCTCTATTAGTCCTTAAGRCAAGGTTTTTTACACAATAAAAACATGAAAGTATTTCTGTTTTCTCCCGTGCTGTTTCCCCCATAGAGCTTCACGCAGTGCAGTCTTCGTGCTCACAAGAACACGCTGTGTGTGCATCGACAGTGTCCTTCATATCCTCTGACTTCTGGTCCAGCTTCGTCTGCTTGTCTGTCAGGCTGGTGGCTGAGTCTGATGGGGAGCAAGCAGGGAAAAGCAAACAGTTTACTTCACAAGCAGTTCTGCAAGGTACAGTGTTTACCATGCAGTAGGCATTAATTAGAGCAAGCTTGGCTGTTCCTCACTGATTTACATATTTATATTTGTCTAAGTCACMTGGAGATGATCCAGGAAACTCACTTCATTAATAAGCCAGTTCTACCTTGAAAGTTACTACTTCCACGTAGAATTTTATTAATTATACCTTTAGGAAAGGGTGTTATGATCTTTAAGAAAAAAAACTTAGAAAACTGATACAATTCTATGCTCTATATAATCTGTATCTACTTCATCTAATCTCTTATTAKCTACAATATACTTATAGAAAATAAATCCTCCTAAATCACTGGGCCTGTGTGCAAGAATCCTGTCCACACCTGCCCTTCTAGTGCCTAAATCAGTGAAATAGGATCGCATCCAAAGGTGGCAATAAATAAAAAAGGCAATGCAAGGATCCTTGTTCCCATTTCAGGGTGCTGCACRTGGTCATGGCTCAGTCTCCACAGGCTTCAGGACACAGATTTTCAGTGTTGTCTGTGCTGTTATCCTGCCCTTACCTTGTTTACCCTAAGCACATGAAGGCGAGTTCAGTTCAGATTTTAAATTCCAGTACAATGAAAACAAATAAATCTACAACAGAAAATCATCTCTCTCACAGAAGGGATATTTACACATAAATAAAACCAGAAAATGCTTCAGTCAATAGGGCAGTAAGTCCATGCCTACCCATGGCTGTGTTATTARTATTTTTACAGTGGAATAACTGAGTCAGATCACAAGCTATTGACACTTTTCTCAGCTCCTATTCAGTGGGATTGCTGTTGGCTCACCAGCAGGRAGACAGTGGAAGCCCACAGTGACTGGAGTAGTCTTGGTGGCAGAGCAGCCCTTCATGCAGCGCAGCACGGGCTCTGTGGAATAGCACTTGGACTCGACGCCGGCGAGCTGAACCGTCTTCTCCAGCTTCACAAAGGAGCGCCGCAGCTTGCAGGCTGCAACAAACCAGCGGGGACAGCTTATGTGCTTGTGCTCAAAAGCTCCAGATCTCCCCAGAAGGACCCATCTGCCAACACTGCCAATTTGCAACCAACCTCCCTCTGAGAAAACGGTGTTTTKATCATAAATGAAGCAGCTTCACTGACTGGTAAAGCTTTCAAAACAGCTTGTTAGATATGGAGTCCTGGAAAGTTAATTTCAAATGCAACTGGTCTATTTCTAGATCAGGATGTAGAAACACAGTCTAGTAATAAACATTTTTCACAGTAAATTGGCTTCTTACTGAATAGCTGTCAAACCACATTGTAAAATGTTGAATGTTCAGCAATGGAATTAAAGGAGAGTTTTGTGACCAAATATAATTAATCACTAAAGAATTGTATTATTATCACTCTCATTCAGACACAGAATTGGTGCAGAGAGAGAGCAACAGTCACTGCTCCCAGCAAACAATATTGATCTTATTTGGATTCCCAGGGCAGACAGTTACAAGTGAGAAGCTAAACAGGCCACAGTTTATTCCTAACTATGAGTTTTATGTCCTCAAATTTCAGCAATTTTGACCATATGCTAAATGGRAACACAGAATGTGGTCACAACCAAGCACAGGAGTATTATTGTGTACGTGCATGGGCACTCCATGCCCATCTAAAGCAAGTTTGTTGTCCAGAATTTGTGACAAAAACATGGAAGAATAACAGCTAATGCAGAGCTAAACACGTGCAAGCCATCTCCAGGGACCGAGGATGTCCTTCCACAGGACAAGTCTCCACAAATGCAACGTGCCTGTTCCCCTCGAGCCCTGTGATGTTGCATCATAACCTCAGCCGAGAGCACCAGCACACCACAAGATCCTAATCTCCTGAAAGACTTAAAACGCAGCTTTTTTATTTCAACCATGTAATTAACATTACAGTCYCTGGAACTGCTCATGTACTTGAATGCTTTGCTTGACAGGTTGCACAGGTTCAAAAACCAGGTGGTCAGCCGTGTTAATGACTACTAATCCCCATCAGATTTTTTGATGGGTCAATTGCTGAAAATTGGTGTCTGGAAAATGCTGTTKGGCTTATATCAAAGCATTCCATGTGAATTTTGTCCTCTTTCTGATCTTCTTCTAAAACACTTCAAAACTGAAACAAACATGTTGATTCATCTTGTTTTTTGAATTTTGACTAAGCTGTATATTTTGGCTTGTTTAACCTGYGATTTCTTATTTCTTTCTCAACTTGCTAAGTACTAAAGTAATTTTTATATTTAATATATTAACTTCATAATGAATCTTCTAATGTGCTTTTTATTTCCAAAATATGTACAGATTTTAAATTTTCTGAACAGATTCTACATTTTCTGAACAACCTCATTAATCTTATATTAAATTTATTAGAGYTTGCATACCTCCTCTACAAGGCTTTTCTTCCAAAATCCAAGAGTGCCCAAAGCTCACTGCACTTTTAGCAACATATCCATTGGGCATCCGATATTCCTGTTCACATTCTGCATCATATTTTCCACACAGTCCACACATTTTCCCTGCCATCCATAAAGCAGCTTGAATCTTGGAGGAAAAAGAAGTGAGAAGTATTTCAAGTTAAAAAAAAAGAAATACCTGTGGAGCGCATTTTTGCTACGCAGGTGCCTTTCAGTGTAAGTTAATGCACAAACATTTAAAAWCTCTTTGATAAGAACKCAAAAGGGTCTGACAGTCAGATGCYAACCTCCYGTGGGGCTGCAGCATCTGTAACTGCTGCAGTCTTTATAACCTACTGTGCCAGTCTAGGATGTTAAGTTATTAATGYTCTAGACTATTAATATGCTGAAGTTTTTGTCTGGTGGTTGTTTTGATAGTGCAGGAGACAGACACGGTGCAGTTCACCGATCTCCCACGTTCCAGCTTTGTATTAATTTTAGTGCAGCCTTTAAATCATTCATTTGCCTAAAAAGAATGGCTGCATTTTTGCTATTTTGAAAAGTTCAACAGCTGTAAGAACACTGATCAAGGGCTGAAAACTCATTTTTCTTGCAAAGGCACTGCTGGCTCAGCGCATGCACACTCRAAATCCCACTTCCCAACACACACCYGTACTGCAAGAACAGAGCMCTTCYRTTGATCAAAGATCCTCATTTCTCACAGTCAGAAATAAAGAGCAGGACTGTGCAAATGGCACCTGTACACCCTTGAGCTCACAAACATAAATTTAAGGGGGTCCTATGGAAATTTCTTAACACCCAATCTTATGAAGRGAAATAATGATACCCTGAATGTGTATCCATCAAAGTACAATTTATCAATGCCATAGGCTGGGGCRCGAAGTACAAGCCCTTGATTTTCACTGTGGATCCACAGAGTAGCACCTAGAAAAAAACAAAATAAAGTAAACCAGAACAAAACAAACCAAACCTAGCTTAAGGGAGAAAAAAAAAAAGCAACAGTCATGTTTCAAAAATACTTCAATTTCTCAGTTACTCTRTTCAAGAAAGAAAACATAGAGCAAAGCAATGTAGAAATGTGCATACATAGAAAATAAGTGTTTGTAAAAGGTGGGAAGACAATTTTAACGATCACAGATTTATTAATTTTTCTTTAAGTTATTAACCTTCATATTTATGTCTAGAAATTATTACTGAGTTGTCCATAGTATCTGTGTAGTTGTGCAGGTAAACAACTGTATTGGAATATGGAAATACAAAGAACACCATGACTATCACTGGAGCCATTTCTAGCACAATTATCACTTCCCAAGTACACAACAAGGAGGACAGAGCTCAGCACTAGTACATGCTAACCCAATTTCAGCAACCTTTAGCCCAATGAATATATTGCAGCTCTTTGGTCAKAATAGCCATGCTGTATATAGCCGCTGGCTACACATCACAGCATGAAACAAGGTCTCCCTGTACCTTTCACAGAAACAAACTATCCTGCTTTGGGAGTCAAGCATGTTATTTCATCACTTTTCTATACCTATCCCGGGAAGAATGCAGAGTGCAAGCCAGATTTATACCKACAAATTAAATGGGGAAAAACTTTGATATACAAGTCACATGTGGTGAATTTTAGAAAAGCTCTACTTCAAAAAGTTTTAATCAAGCAAAATTTGATAGCATAACCAAAACACTTTTCAAATTTGGAGCACCAGTAGGACCTGCAGTGATGTACAGAAAGGAGGGATCTTCATGTTCATTACATCTTGCTTATTTRGGCTAATTCAAGAGCTTCACACTGTAATCAATGTTTCTAAATGTTCCTGCGCAAGTGAGTAAAACACATATTCTGAAATATTACCTTAAAACCAAAGAAACGCTTATTGCATATAAACTGATCAAATCTCCTTCACAGATTCCTTCTCTYTCCTTCTTTCTCCTAAAAGATATGTCAAAATTGAGCAGCATATGCTGCATCACTTACCAGCAGATGTGTAGGAAACGTTTGCCGGGCTCTCGGCCCCATCCACCAGCAGCTTCAGGCGGCCGCTCGCAGGGCGCATGTCCACCTCACTGCCAAGGACAAGAGTGTTCACACCCTGCCTGTGCCACAGCCACTCACACACACTGACAGAGGCATTTTCCTGCTCACTGAATATCACTGCTGGGAGCACAAGCTCATTTCAAATGCTTMAATTACATCAGGGCTATTCTTGTCACCCGAGATGCGGGATAAMTGCATCAGCATCACATTCAATATGAATGGAAAATAAATAAGGGGAGTGCTGAAACTCCCTGGGCAGCTAAGTAAACCCATTGCAGTAAAACTCAGATTGGAGCTCCTCTCATGCTAAATGTGGTCCCTCATGCTCTCAGCACCCTGCAGAAGCTACTTACTGATTGCCAAGCTTGATGTTGATTGCTTTCAGGTTCACAGCTTCTTCTGCATTCTTCATCATCACCAGGAACTTCAGGTCAGAGCTGCAGTCCTGAGCCACGATGTGGTAGCAGTTTGCTGGCATTGTGTAGTTAAACTGAACTTCATTAAAGGTTGTGATCTTGTCGTAGGAAAYTGAGCATTGAGCTGGTTAAAAGAATGCCAGTGAGTATTTACTTTTCTATGAGAGAAGGCCGTTAAATGGTGTGCTTTATGTTTAGTGCCATATTAATTTAGCTTTGTAACTTTTCCACTATGTGATATTTTCATTTGGTTTATAGGGACTTTGGCTACTAAGCGCCCATAAATTCTTTAAAAGGCATAGAAAAGATATTCCTCTATCTAATAAAAAATAATTGCCAGAGACTTTAAATATTATCAATTCAGATAATTGGTATCTTGATGCCTGAAATGCTGATGATTTCTGTACTACATGCACAATATTTTCTCCCAGTTGAAACATCCTCACTTTATTACAGAACATTTCCTAATTAACTGGCGATAAACAGCACCAGCAAAATTCAGAAGGAGGTGTTCCAGTAAATTGTGAGACTGAGGTTGTCATGCCTCTGAAGCCAGTTRGACTCTGACCTTTCAAATGCTCGAGCACTGCAGAAGGGGCTTCAGCAAAGACGTTCCAGATGGGAGGCTGCAGCTCTGAAGCTGGTATCCTTGGACCTACAGGAAGTGACAGGGGGAGCCTCATGGCTTTTTCATAGAGGGTAATCTGAAAAGGAATTCAAAAGCACAATCAAAATGCACCTCAGCCAGCAAACAGCTAAGATCTTTTTCCCATTTCTTCTACTTTCATTGCAAAAACTCCATGTGAACTCAACTTATCTGACTCCTTGTCCACGAGGTTTTTTCTTTTGCTGAGTTTTCTCTCATGGTGTGAGAGAAATAATTCAGGTATTATTTTGGAGAGAATGAATTACTCCGTTTCAAAGGTTATGAGGTGAACACTTATGGAGATACTACAGACAGAAACTCACATCATTATGAGTGCTCACRTCTCTCTCTATGAGCAAAATCACTATATGAAAATCCTTCTATGCAATATTGAAAGGTTGGAAATATATAAAAGTAGTTTTCATCATTTCCACCCAAACTGATGCGAACTTAATTTTTCTTTCTCAGAATTGATGCACCGTAATTAAAAAATTACACTTTCCTTGTAGGGAAAAAATTAAAAAGATAAAAATATTTCATAATTACATCAGGAAGCTTGATAACAACATCACATGTCCTTGGAGAAGTTAGAGCCATGATCACCCTGGCTTGTCGAGAAGGATTCTTGTCCATTTTTTCAGAGAACCCCAGCATAAATGCAGCCCCAGGGACAAACTTGTAAAACCTTCAAAAGTTTAAATCAGAAAGATTTGGTGAGCTGGAGAAACAAAGGGCTGCCCACATCCCAAGCAGATTGTCTCACACCTGTAAATAGCATAATAATCTTCAGGATCCCTGGTTATGTCCTCACACCCACTCTGTTCTGCTGTTCAAGTGTTCAGTGAAAGGAAGGATATGTTCCTCAGTTTTCAGTAATTATGTCCAGTATAAAGAACTACTGTTCATTAAAACAGGACGTAATCCCACTCATCTTTTATGCCCAAAAGCAGTACTTGGACAGATCAGAGAATAAAATACCATCCAGTACTTAAGCTCTTGAACCTCATGTGCAAATGCTGATTTTTCCCAGTTGACTGATACTGTGAATGAGTGTCACCAAAGACCAACTCCTCACCATTCTGCTATGGATCTGACACTGGAAGGAACTTTGGGCCACTCCAGTTTCACTTGTACAGCAGGRTGGGCAGCAAACCGCCCCGTTACCAGCTCCGACGAGACCTTGTAGTCCTGGCAATTCCGYCCCCATTTCAGGTAAGCCTGTAATGGAGAGACAAATGATCCATTTTTTARTGCCTGGAGCACAACTTTCCTGCGATGCATACCCAGCTGTATGTGGCTGGGTTTGAGCCTTACCGCTGCCTTGTGAGCATTGAGGACCGAAGCATCAGCACAGAGCTTCCACTTGCTTGAATCGGTGAGGTTGGACACAAATACCTGCACCCGGGGCCTGATGGAGTCAACATCAGCATACACCACCAGCTGGAGACCTCCTACCTTCTTGTCATCACGGATGCCATGCAGGAAAACAGCTAACACTGGTGCTTTAACATCTCCCAAAAACTTGGGCTAAGAAGAAGGGGGAGAAAGCATGCGAAGTGTATAATTATAGAAGAGTTACCATGGAACATTTCAGATGCAAGATCTAGATGGATAAATCAAAACTAAACAACTGAACCACAAATATACACCAGCATATGTATCACACATACATACATGCCTAYAAAACCTCGTGCATGTGTCTGTGATGTGCATGTGCCTCTGCAGGCCAGATGGATTTTATCACTGTGTTTATATGAGCCAAAATTTGTGCCATTTCCTGAGCTACAGCTGATACCATGGCAATACTCATATAATTAAAACAGTAAWGACTGTATGATTTGGGCTTCATTGTTAGAATCCAGCCTGTGAATAAAAGAAAGTGGCTCAGTTTGAACGACATCAGCTGTCAGTGGTGTGCGTCACTCATTCCCACAGCAATCACAWCCCCCAGCTCGTCTCCTCTTGTTTATCTGTCTGGCTGTTGTGTTGGCTTTCTCCACACGCTTCGGCTGGGAGCTCTGTGGGGCACTCAGGTTTGTGCTTGCACAGCAACCAGCCCAGAATGTAATCCTGGACATTGTCTTCCACATCAAGAACCTCTTCCCTTTGAGCACAGCCCTAAGGGCACTGTGACCTTCAATATCTTCAGTCCATCACTCTCCAGTGCATGTGGGAACTATGGTGCATGTCTTGACTGATACCTGAGACTCCAGAGGTTGGCAATTCTCCCTTCCCTTTATYCTAAATATTATCACAATTACTGTGAGTGTACACCTACTCTGCCATCATTCCAAGCTGTCAAAGCCCCCTAAAAACCGATGCAACTAACCCATGAAGCAGCTCGAGAGGAGGCACGACTGGATCTGGCAGAGGAATGCTCGCTGCTGATTTGGCCATCTGCAAGTTTTCTTTTTGGGAACTGCAAAAAAACAAAAAAAAAAAAACCACAACATGCTTAAGAGGGTAACTTTAAAGCATGCTTGAAGAAATTGCAGGAGGCAGTGCTGAGCAATACTCTTTCATGGCACCTGGCGTTGGCAAGCTTGTGTTCCAACCCTGAGCAGCTCAATGATAATAAGCATTGTCCTTCTTAGTACATAGGAGCTAACTCTGAAAAATCGCATTTTCCCAAACATAGCTGACTCCTCATGGTCCTTATTTTCCCTTTATGAAAATCAATGGACCAGAGCAAGTCAAATTAAATCAGCTTCTCGCATCAATATGAAAGACCAGAAATTCTGCACTGGYCTGATCAGCTGAAGGACAAACTGAATGACCCAACTGAATGGAAAGGAGTGTCTGAATGGACACACAGTGCTGAAACGTTACTGCTTGAGAAACTCTAATATCAAGTACACTGCTCTGGCTGGCTCACGCCCCAGTAAGAATCTGCTAAACCAAAATACTAAGAAATAAGGTATCCTCCCACGTTAGTCCACATCACCATCCTTGTGTGTACCAGCAATGATTCCAACCCAAGAAACCAAGAGATCAAAGCCAGCCAAATGAACCAAGCTTCTGACGGTTCCTCCCAAGTGTGCAGCTCCAATCTTTTTCATTGCTTTGGTAGAGGTTTTTAGCTCCTTTGCAGAGCCACAAGTAGCTTCATGTGCAAAGCACAAAAGGGAAGGCAGCTCTCTGTGTTTACACATCTCAGAAGAACCACCATGTTCCAATGTTATCAGTACCATAATGTTCCTCAACAAAGATAACAAGTTGCTTTGAAAGTCTCCATTTGACCCTTGACAGATTCCATATGTCTTTTACTGAGGAAAGAAAAACTCACCTCTTGTCTGTGYGCTGATTTAAAGCGGTACTGATAAATCTCATGGGCTTCCTTTGGAAATGATAAAAACAAGAAGATTAGAAGTTTCAGATGAAAAGAAATGCTGCAATTATATGGAAAGTTAAGCATTGGGAATTAAATAAGAAACGTACTAATTATCATTCATACATAGTTCTGTATGCTTAGTCACAGGCACATAAYGCAAGATGAAATAGTTTATGTAAATCATTAATGTTTCTACCACAAAATTAAGACAGAAATATGCCATGAATATCTAATTGTCAAAAAGCTCCYATTTACTGCCTGTAACAAAAGTTTCAGCAAACTTGTGGAAACTTTTGAGACGCTTTGAAGCAGACATCTGWGCCAGTGATTGCAGGTGTGTTTGTAGAATTAATGTTGCAATTTTATGTTGCTARAATTTGCTGGTCAACTCATAATGTCCTGATTTGTCATGCAAGGCCAGTCACCATCAGGAACATGATTCACAAACATTAGCAGCATCAGTCGATTTACTGAAAAAATTACCCATGTTTTGGAATATGCACTGCTGCTGCTGCTGCTGCTGCCACCTTCCAGGTGTCCTGAATGATGTTCATGGCTGTGGTGGCTCCGTGACTCGCTGCTGCTGCTGCTGCTGCTGCCATTCACATGCTTTGAGTGATGCCCATGGCTATGATGGCTCGATGACTTCCTGCTGCTGCTGCTGCTTCTACTGCTACTACTGCTGCTACTGCTACTGCTACTACTGCTGCTGCTGCTGCTCTTGCCACTTCTACTGCTGCTGCTGCTGCTACTGCTGCTGCTCCTGCTGCTTCTACTGCTACTACTGCTGCTGCTACTGCTCTTGCCACTTCTACTGCTGCTCTTACTGCTGCTGCTCCTACTGCTACTACTACTGCTGCTGCTCTTGCTGCTCCTGTCACTGCTGCTACTGCTGCTGCTGCTGCTCTTGCTGCTTCTGCCACTACTGCTGCTGCTGCTACTCCTGCTACTTTTGTTGCTGCTGCTGCTTTTACTGCTTCTGCCACTGCTGCTGCTGCTACTGCTCTTGCTACTTTTGCCACTGCTGCTGCTGCTCTTGCTGTTGCTACTCTCGCTGCTGCTGCTCTTACTGCTCTTGCTCTTGCTGCTCTTGCTGCTTCTGTCACTGCTGCTGCTGCTGTTCTTGCTGTTGCTACTCTTGCTGCTGCTGCTCTTGCTACTTCTGCCACTACTGCTGCTGCTCTTGCTGCTTGCATCCTTGCTTTTTGCTTGCTTTTCTTGATCATTCTCATCTTCACCACCAGCCTCTTTACGAGGAGACTCAGCAGATGATGAGGAAGAGGAAGCAGCTGAGGAGGCAGAAGATGAGCTGGAGGGATKTTTGGTATTGGGGTCTGCCCCAAGCTCTGTCAGCACAGTGTTTTCTTTCTTTGAAGGTCGCTTCTTCTGGTGTCGTGTTTTATTTGCAACCTGCATAAACAGTCCAAGAGGTGTAAAAGAGAGAATACATCTGGTTCTGTTTTACAAAATAAAACATCTGTGGCGGTCAGACAAAGCTGGGTTCTCACACCAGCCTTTCAAGGAAAAAAGCACCTCACTGCAGAATTCCCTCTGATCCACTCCAACCAGCTGAAATCCAGCCCAGCACAGACCACYGTGCTGGATGCACCCATGGGACCCATCCCTCAGCATGGGGCACCTTTCAAACAAGCCCCATCCTTTCTTTGCCAGGCCACCTTTTCACAATGAACTTTGAATTCTTGCCTTAATTTAGGGAAAAATATTCCCCACTGCCCTACTCAAAGTCACTTGCCTTGAAGACATTTTCAATGCCKAGAATCTTCTTCAGTTTGGCTTGRATGTTGTCGTACAGAGATGATTCACCCTCTTCCTCAGACTCTGCATTTACTTCATGAATTATTTTGGAAGCTGCTCTGGATCCTGCCTGAATCTCCAGCTGAATTTTGTCAAYACCAGCATCTGTTTCAACTACACACCAATTGCACACATTAGAAGGTTATACTGCTTSAAATAGCACTGACAAACCTAAGGTGCTCAGTATTTTACCTGGGATCAAGACTATTTTAGCTTCGTGCTCTCCAATTAATCTGTGCAAATAGGTATTTTTTAGGAAACTGGCATCTCGTGACCTCCTGGAAAAGCAGAGCTGACACCCAAGATGATGCAGTTTGATGCAAATGCCTCGTTTATGAGCTTTTCTCCCCATGAGGTGGCGAAGATCCTCCTGAGAGCTATAGGCATGTTTCCTTGACGTGCTGTCAGCTTCTTGCTGCATTAGAAATGAGGATGTGAATACCACTGGGAGTGTGTCACAGGCACAGGTAAAACTGCAGACATCCATCTCAGAGAGGGGAAACATTACTATATAAGCAAAAAGAAATGGGTTACCTTTGGGAAATCTTCAGTGGAAGCTTTATCCGATGGTTTGAAAGGTTCTTCCACAATATTTGATGAAGCATCTCCTGGCAGAATTGAGGTTCTCTTCTCAACACCTAATTCTCCTAAATTTCTTGATACAGCAAAAGCCTTATGTCTGTTGAGATATGTGCAAAGAATGGTGAATTATTCCTAACCCTTGTCTTTGGATTAAATGAAATACAACCTGTCAGTATCACGTGACAGCACAGAGAGATGATAYTTGAACAGGATTTGTATATGAATTTAGAAATATAAATATTATTGAAAAAAAAGTAAGAGCTCATGACAAATATAATTTTCTTATATCACAGGAATTTTTCAAAATCTGGATAAGTTTAAACACATTTCTGAAAGATTAGAAACATTCATTCAAACATAAAAATCTAAATCCTTAAAAGACAATAAAATAATAAAARACACTAAGAACACAAAATACCAAATGATTCAATATAAAAATAACACTGCTAAATAATTTAGGTATCTTTTGATTTTTAGATCCTGTATTTTTTTTTCCTCTTGCTTTATCCCAAAGCTTCTGCAACACAGTGWAGAGTCACTGTGCCCATCTGCAAACCTCTGAGGGAGGTCAGGCAACAGTGAGCTTTGTCAGGTTTCAGCAACACGAAACATTCTGAAGTAATGCTACTGTACCTTCCGACCACTATCTCAGTTTCCTCATGGCATGGATTTGTTTCAATCTTAATATTTTTCTGCTTCATGTCTATCTTGGCATCAAACTTCATTGGCAGTCTTGCCAGGACCTTGCCTTGAATCTCCACRGCTTGCTGGAAATATTCTGTGTTGATACCCATTGTTGCAACTTTCTGTATGTATAAACTGAAACAGAGTGCAGCAGTCAGGGGTGAGAAAGATGCTTTTTTCACCTACGTGGTTCTTCCTTCTCTTAAAAACCTCCTTCATACATGAAGAAACCTGCCTTACCTGGGGTTTATGTCAGAACGAATCTGCACAGTGGATTCAAGCAGCTGTGAGGGTCTAAAATCTCCACTTAGAGGGGGAGTTATCTTCCCATCAACTGAAAAATGCAAGAACAACCTTCAAACAGGGTAACAACAAAACAGAGGAGTCAAACATAAACAAACACAGCTTTCAGTAGGAGGTAGTATTTTTGCTAGTACAACAGAATGGTACAACAAATATGGCTGGAAAACAAGACAGGTTTTGGGGTATGCGAGACCTTTTTTGAGTATGGAGCAATATACAGAAATCTTGATCTGTAGGCAAAGGCTCTGATGCAATTTTCCGTTGAAAATGGAAATCAAAATATACTAAGAAAATGAAGAGCTGACCCAAATTGAAAGCTTGATAATTAGTATAACATTAAAATTTCAGAACATAGGGAGTCAGAAGACAGAGTGAATGAAGGGAACCAAGCTAAACAACCCCTGCTCTCCAATCTTTCCTCCCATCAAGTGTGAACATCTTTCTTGTACTGAACATTGCACTCCAGATGCAGCCACAAACGTGTGGCCTCTCCCTCTCTGGTTTCCCAGGCTTTCATCTCACCTTTTCTGTCTTCAATCCATTCAAAGACAATGCACAAATTGGTGCATCCAGCTTCTCTTCAAGCATTTTTCCCGCCCCACTCTCCAATACAAAAGCTAGCTCTTTTTCTAACTTCCCRGCTCTCCATTCCTTTCTGCAGCCTCCCTCAGCCCCTGTCCCTGTGATCCCGTGCTCAGAGGTTGCCCAGTTTGCCCCTGTCRCAGCTGACCGCTGATGGCAGCCCTGGCCAGGGCAGTGAGGTAGGAGCTGTATTCCAGGGGCAGCCCGGTGCAGGTGGGGAGGATGTAGCGCAGCTCTCCCAGCCACASGGGCTGTGTCCACTGCCCCGCCACGCCGCTGCGCAGATGGCCAGAGAGCCTCTTCAGCACYGTGCTCCTGTCAGCAGGCTCCAGAACGGTCTGCAACACAACAGAGACCCAACAGGCTGGGATACCAAAGYACAACGCTGTCTGATACTGCAGAGGAAAGTAGGGGTCCCTGGTACCTTCACAGCCTGCTGCAGCACTTCCTTATTGATGTTGATGTAGGCCAGCTCTTGGCCAAAGAGYTTGAAGTAGGCTGATATCAAGGGGGTTTCTGTTGGCAGCTCCTTCCATCCCAGCAGCTGGGGAGCAGGTAAAGAAACAAGCAAAGTTTCTTAATGCAATAGTTCACAAATGATAATTCATCCAGGTGACTACACCCCTCACTGGTCAAGCCGCCCTTTTCCTTTGTAAAATTTCCAATTGTGAAGAGCATGATGGCATGAATTCAGACTTCTTTCCACCATTGAGATGCCCACAAATGTTTGGTATTCCAAAACAATGACATTCACATGCAGGGTCTGGGCCAGTAATATCACTAAACCCAGTTTGAAAGCACAGCAAGAAAATAATTTTTTTCTCTTGAAGACAAAGGCATATTCTTGTAAACTAGGAGAGGTGGGTGAAGGGAGGGAGTAGGGGGCCTGGCAGAAATGTGACACATCTTACTGCAATGCCTGMCACCCCCTTTGCCTCCTGTGCCCCTCCTGCAGCCATCTCTGAGCAACAAGTGGCAGAAGCTGCTGCAGGGCAGATGTCTCCTGCAGTCCCACTGCACATCTGTCCTTCACAGAAATACTTGAGCTGACTCCTAGGAGAGGAGTTTACCTTCTGAGACAGGGCTTAAGGAGATTGAGAAGCATCACTAATGCTCCTTCACATAACCCACACTGAAATTCAGTATATTACTGAAAATACCTACAGCTTTTCCAATCTCCTTGATCTTTTTGTATGTGGGATATTCAGCAAACGGGATGTTTCGTTTCATGATGACGTCTGTGATGCCCTCCACACGGACACCAGCCTACCAAAACAGCATGAGAAGGAGCAGTCTGAAACATGCTTACAGAGAGGAGACTTTGTGAGCAGTTTTAATTTTAATTTGGTTTATTTGACTTAAATAAAGTAAATATTTACCTCCACCAAATCAGCCACCGACCCTGCAGAATATGCCATCAGCTTGGAAATTATTGCTGATGGGAACATCGTTCCTGGGCTGTTCATAACAAAGACATCTCCAGCAGCACCAATTTTGTAGTTATCTATGGCAGAAGTAAACAAGAGACATCTTTTTTCTAACCATTCTGCTTACCATTCAAGATCATATTTCTGCAGCTTTTTCCACAGCCAACCTTAAGATCTATCACTAYATAAACCCTGTTTAGGCAGAAACTATTAAATGTTACTCTAAACATGATAGTCTCACATTTAATTTCTCATTGAAATGAAGAATGCCATATTTCTCCAAAGGACTCATTATTTTAAGAACGGATTTCTGAAGTGAAATTTTCCTGATCACCGAAATGCTTACTCACCCAAGTAACCACCAATACTTATGACCTTGCTGTAGCGATAGCTCAACCTGTCCAGTTTGGGTGCCAGCAGCTTAAGGGCAATATTGCAAGCTGAAGATCTAAACAAAACGAGAAAGGAAACAATATTCAGAAACAAGATGCACCCTGTCAGTAAATAAACTGACTTCAACTCTCAGCACATGCAGAAGATCATTATTTGCAGAAGAGCACCTGCTTTGCTCCTGTATCTACTCACATGTTGTATGTGTATGGCAGGCTGCTCTTGGACAAAGCCTTCATGTGGGAATACACAAAACTGGCCACCTGCAGATTGCTCTCCTTCATGGCCACATTGGCAATGGTTGTTATTAAGGGAAGGGCAGGCCTTGTCTCAAAGATAACAGCACAAGCCATCATCCTCACTTCAGGGGGAAGAGACTCATCAGCCAGGATCTGGATGAGGTACCCCTGCACCTGCAGAGAGAGAACAGTCTCTGGAATTACCAACAATTGAAACTGTCTTGCAAACTGGATCCAGGCAGGAAACGTGGGAGAGGGGATCATTATTCCTGCAGAAAGGGTTCCTGATCTTTTTTACTGCAGGGTTCCATGTAACTCTATTAATATAACTTCAGGGGACATGGTGGAACAGCCCCTTGGAGGCATATAATAAATGTCCATCTATTGATGTACTGAGCCAATTCATAACAATCAAAAATGCATCAGCATTGCTTTGTGCATTACTGACATTCAAGTATCTGTGAATATCTTCAGAAGAAAAAAAAGGGGATAATAAGAAAAGCTCATTCTTTGAAGTAACTACACTGTCTTAGTGAGCATGCTTTGCTATTTCAGACCAGCTTTAAAAGGGTTTCACCAAAGACAGTCTGAGAGAATGGTTTCTCATCTAGGTCCTGTACCTGAACCATCTGAGAGGCTTGCCTACACTTCCTGTGACAGCCACCTCAGTGAGGGCTCAGTGGTGGCTTATCCATCCTCAAGGGAAGGGTCTAAAGAGGCAGAACAATGCCAGCATTTGGCCTAGGAGTTCAACAAAAAATGTCTCTCCTCCTGACTATAGAGGCAATTTAAATTATATGTCTGACTTGTAAGTAGCTAAGTGTCCACTATACCTAACTAGCACAGGACTTGGTTATGAGAGATGATAAAAACAATGCTGCTGATACCCTTCTAGAAGCTTAAAAGGGAYTAATTATCATTACAGTTTAGCAAAAAACATCAGTTGAATGTAAAACTGTATGGTATTGTTCTTTAAAATAATCTTTAAAAAAAAAAAGCTGAATCCACACACATGACATATTGAAATCGTTAGTTTTATGGTAAACATTTTAATTCACTAAGAAAAGAAAATCTACCAGATCCTACTTACTGTTTTTCGGTCCTTCCAAGCGATTTTTCTCAAGGCCATTATGGCATCAATCTGAATGTGGACAGGGATGTCAGAAGCACTGGATGAAAACATGGGAAGGAACTTGAGGATGCGCTTGATGCTGGCTGGTTCTCCCATGTTGCCRATGCACTTCAGAGCCAATTTCATTTTGTCCTCACGGCCCCTGCTGATGGCATCGTCTGCCAGGTCATGGATGGGCTGGTAGACAAAGCACAGTTCAGTCCCCTCATCCAAATTACAGACTGACCACAGTGTCCCCCCTACCCCCTGAAAAGACTCTTGCAATAAAGCAACTGGTTTTAACAAAATCACTCAATGGTGGTTTATCTCASAGTTTTACCCTTGCAATGTGAAAACTGTTTTCAATGGTGAACCAAATAACTGCAGTGATAAAATGATTTGATGTCTTTGTTCTGAAGAAAACCTATGGTGTGCATTTATTATTTCCAATCACCTTTTTTTTCACCATGTATCTTCAAATAATCAAGCTAATATAATAAACATTACTAAGCAATAAAAGAAACTTGGCAAAAATCCACCCACCTGCAGGGCTTCTTTAGGACAAGCTGAGATCTGAGAACAGTATCTATTCACCACAGAACTRTATCCCAAGCTGGCAAGTTGTTGAAGCACAGAATTTTTCTGGATTCGAGAACTTGTCACTAAGTCCTTTGAAGAMCAAAAAAATTAATTCGTTATTTAATACAGAGCTCCACAAAGGGTTTCAGAGCTGGAATATCATCAGATCTTATTTGAAGGGATCGGTCTCAGAATGATCACTGCTCTTATCCAAACACGTTAAAGTAGGCTGCAGACATTATGTTTGGAAGCTTCATTTAAGAGCTTAATTCCCCACTAATTTACACATATATAAGCTTACATAGCTACATTTTGATTKTCCTCAACTGAACATAAAATTGAAACAATTAGGATTATGGATAAACATCAATGTATAAATGGAATATCCCCAGAAAAATGTGCAACTCATTTATATTAATCATGCATTTTCACATCATATCCTCTTTTCTTGTTTCAGAATAAGATGAATATTGGCTAGAGATGGCAAAAATCCTCTTCGGAATAAATGATTCATTATTGTGTCAACATATTTGATGTTTGCACTTTTCCTGCAGCACTTTCCAGTTCAYGGACTAGTTTGCCATTAAAAGACCATTCAAATGATGTTAACACACCAATCATTTGTTTCAGAAATAAGAGATTAAAGGGGATAAAGTTATGTCTGTAGAAGGCACGCCTGTGATCCCAGCAAGCTAAAATGGGAATTATTCCCAGAAGCTCTTCTAAGAGAAGGGCTTTATATCAGTACAGAGAAATGAAGACACTAAACTGTCCTCTAATAAATACTACACCAAAATAAATTTATGGGTCAACGTTCACACAAAATTAGCGTGCACAAGAGAAGAATTCAGTCTCTAATGTACTTAATCAAAGGCTGTTGTTGATTATCATTCCTTGTGTTGTGAGACASGAAAGATTCACATGTCTTTACTCACTGCTGCTATTGGAACAGTGTGCTCATCAGCTTTTGTCAAATGGAGAGCAAGGGGAACACTTAGCAGAGCCTGAAGGTAGCTCAGGTCATCGCTGCGGATTCTGCTCTTAATGAACTTGAGCGCTTCTGTGGTGCCTGTCGCAGTAACTGCACTCAGCAGCCATCGCCTGCAAATAGATTTAAAAAAAAATCCTTCATTTCAGCTCTCAATTCTCACAAAACCAGGRAAGTTTCCTGTAGGTTGATACAATGAAATACCTGTAGCGGGGTTTATCTGAGCATTGTCTCCAGATGGACTCAAGGGTGTCAGCGCTTGCTGTGCGGCAGAGCTGGACGAGCTCCAGGAATCGGTATGGAACATCATCATGGAAATCCTGTTGGTTGTTCAGGACTATGTGTTGCAGGGTTTCCATTATCTGTTACAAAGCACAAGAGAGAGGGCATACATAATTACATTCTTTGCAATTTATGATCATTACTCTTTTTTGGTCTTGGTTTTGTTTTTTTTTTTATTCGGAAAGCAATTTGAAGACCCAAAAATACTGTACCCGTTGCTCAGGGTTTTTTGTCTTGATGAGCTGCACTGACATCTGTGGCAGTGCTGCTGGGAACTGGTAACGCAGACCTCCGTAGTTCTTCATGGAGATGTCTGGGGAGCTCCCCCGTTCACTCCTCACTTCCAGCAAGGTGAGCTGCTGTCTGTCAAGAGACAAATGTCACAGSAGAAAGGCATTATCTCTCTTCACCCACGCACCTTAGCTGTTTGTTGGTTCAGTGATACTGTCATGGTTTCAGTTTTACTCTTTAATAATTTTTCTTATCAAAAGAAAAGCTTTTGCTGATGAATAAAGCCTTCTATCTGGAATAGAAGCAAAATGTTGTCTGAGTTATCTACAATGAAATTGTTTCTGAGTAGAAACAAAATTGCTGTCTGCTGAATGAGAGCTCCTGACTCAGTGCAATGAATGATCTTATTTCTGTGTGCTCCACCTTCCTCCTGACACTATAAATCAGCCCCATTTTCAGGAGAAACAGAGCAGTAAAGTTGAATTCTTATGGTATAAGGAAGCAAAACAGCTTTTCTCCTTTTCTTCCATCTAACTGCAGTACCAGTTTGATCAGGCTTCAAATAAAGAATGGTTTGCTGAACTTTTAGGACTGTGGAAACCCTAAGTGTGATTGCACAACTCTGTCCAACTGCTGTGGAGTACAATTCTCATTTCGCTTCAGYTGGGGGTGGAGAGGACTGACAGAACCTGTAATTAACTCACTTCGGGGAGCAAGCCCACATCCCACCTACTTTGCTTCCGTGACAGCGACGCCRGTGGGTTCACTGAGTGGAGAGATCTGGTACACCTGCTGAGACACCACCTCTGTGATCAGGGTGCCGCTGTCTGTCTGCTTCAGTTTGTAGGAGAAAGCTGCGGTCCCTTTGATGAGCCTTTCCTTCTGTGGGAGCACAGAGACCCAAGAGTCAATGGGAGCACAGTGACCGTGCCTGCAGTCAGGAAGATCCTCCCACACCTCACGTACCATCACATCAACAGGGCAGGGGTAGATGTAAGCCATTCCAAGACTCTTCACCACTTTTTCCTGGCAGTTATTCTGGTCCACAGTTTTGGTTGCAGACATTCGGCTGTTCTTCCTGTCTTCCTGGATGACGTACCTTGTATGGCAAACACCTCCGATTCCAGCCTGGCAGATGAACACAGGTAATGAGCCTTCCCAATTATGTCAGGATTTCACTGATTTACTGAGAAAGTTTWACCTAATGAAGATCCTCAATGAACCTGTTACTATTACATACAATTATTCCTATTGAACTAAAAAAATAGGCATGTGAACAGTACTCGGTCAGGGAATGGAGTTTTAAAATAACAAGTAATCAATTAATTAATACMAACAATTAGCAAATAAAATGGATCAAGTAGCTGTACTAAATAAGCCACACAACAAATAAATTCATAGCTAAAATTGTTTTTCTCCAAAGATCTGCATGTTAAGACTTAAAGACAGATGTCTTAGAAAGAATTCAGTCCAGATAATTCGTTCAACAGCCACACACGCATTTTCTTCCACGTGAATGAAAAGCAACTTTTTCTTACTACAAACATTCAAAAGTAGATKCAAATAAAGAGAAACTCAAAGGAAKAGCAGCTAAAGAGAATAAACAYATCCTTTCAGCAAAATAGTTTTAGAATGGAAGGAAACTCACCTCTTGCAACTCATAGACATTCTGTGCCTTCTTGATGGTTAACTGAATCATGTTCAGTATTCCTCTCACTATGTTAATGCAAGTATCAGGGCAGTCTTCTGGGCCATAAATGTTTCCAACCCGTCCACTGCTGTATTCAAACTTKAAGGGCCGGGTAAGGCATGAGGAAACCATCTGGGTGATTTTGGAAGATCGAGTGAATGGATCCTTGGGCCAGATGCCATTGTATTCCTCGAACTGTGGGGAGCGGATCTGGGAGGAAATTAAGAAAAGATACTTAGGTGAATAAAATCACCTTAGTACTTAATATGCAGACAGATTGGAAGAAATTAACATAACACGAGTTAGATACTCTTTCTTTCAAAATGTAGGCTCGGACAGTTATACAGCAGTTTATTCTTCTGTCTCGTACTTGCACCATTGTAAAACCAGTGCAAACCTTGTTGGCTCGAAAGTTCTATTTTATCTTACAGAAGCAGTTTTAACTCATTCTTAAGCAATTTGCCATTTTCTAATAGAACCCCCAGCAGCTGAATTTCCAATACAAAGTGTTGAGGAGCACCTGCTACAAACAACTTCCCCAAAAAACTCGGTAAGGGACTCCTCCCATCTGTAGCTTGTATTCCATCCTCTGACATCTGCACTGACAAAACTCAAGCTGTGTTTCCTGCACCTTTCCTACACCGCAGCTCAGCCAGATACAATTACAGCTGTGATTTTCTCTTACTGTTGCACATTTAGCAGACACAGTACCTTGAGGAGGTAAACATTTTCCGACAGCCCACTGATCTCCAGTTTGCTGCTCAGGCGCACRCCGGCTTTGGCTAAATTCTTTTCTTGAAGCCCATTCAACACCACGCCCTCATAACTGTACAAGTAGCTCTTTCTGCTACTGAATCCAGGGTCTGTGGGAAACAACAGCCATTTTCACAGTACTTGCAAACACGTGATAATAAATAGAATTAACAGCAAAGTCGCTGAAATAAGGTTATAGAAGGAAATTTACTTACCAATATCRAACTTCTGACTACCTGCAAAAAGAGATGGAAAACTGGATAAGTCCAATCTAGATCCAATCACTGCCGTTGAGTTTAGGGAAATTTGGGGAAAGAAAGGTGAAAGAGGTATCCATATGTAGCCTTACCTACGAGGGTGAGCACTAGTGCAAGTATGATTCCCCTCATAGTGAAGGCGAATGGGGCTCTGCCAGACATGGTGAGACTTTTATGGAAGAAAGCTCRGGAACACGTGGCTGTGTTCTGCTGAATTCTCAAGTTTTTTATCAGTTTATGTAAACACCTCCCTTTTTGCAATCACACTTTCTCTTCAGATGGAATAATGTGAACCAAATCATATCTTGGTATCTCACTGATTATCTCATAAGCCCTTTGCTGAATTATTTAGAAGTTTCTACTTACCCTAATAAGTTTTACTAGATCATTTACAATAAATTTACAATAAACATGTTACTTCATTTCGCAGGTTGTGTCCCAGCTGGCTGCTGATATTTGGTGCTGCCATAGGTTGATTTTGCCCAGGTTAGGCTGACCTGGCACCTGACCCGAGCTGTTATCTCGCTGATAGCGGCCCAATTAACAGAGTCAGTAYCACACACAGTGACAGGGCTCTTCCCCTTCCTTGGCATTGGTTACAGCTGCCCCGTAGACAGCAGACAAGGACAGATATCCCCTTGCTCTTATATTCTTTTGTGCACCAAAGTACATTTAACATTTACTAAAAAACCCTATGTATGGAATAWATATATTTATTCAAAYGAATCAGAGGATGTGTCGGTGTGTCCTTTCAGCTCTGGTCACACTGACCAGGAATATTTTTTAAATGAACAAAGATTTCATAAGCCATCAGTAAATATTTTACCTTTCAAGGTAAATGACAGCCAAATCTGAACAATTAAAACTCATAGAGACTCCTCCCAGCAAAGGATGGGGAATGGGAGTGCAGGTCAGCTAGAACTTTTGCATTTCCTAAGGAGTCAAACACAAAATGCAGCTGAGTTACCTGAACAGATGCAGGCTTGCAGCCAGCTTCACCATTTATTTACAGAGAGCCCAGGAACATCAACACAAAGGTTCTCTTCTAGAAACCTGTGGGCCATGGAGGCAGTGGAGAGACACAAAACATGCGTGGCCTGTTTGAGTATGGTAAGAGATTGGGGGATGGGCCAGACTCATTCCTCCCAAAGAATCTACACTGTCTTCCAAAGGGAGCTGGGGAGCATCTGGATCAACAATAACAGGCAAGAAAAATGCACAGGGGCTTCCGAGCTGGAGGATGCTTCTGGGAGAGCAACTTCAGGCAACACAATAAACCGTGGGCTTTGAATCACACAAAAACCACRAATCCYATCCAAATTCAACACCTATGACATRCCAGTTAATCAGACACTTTATTTCTACTCCCACAACTCCTATATTATAGGATTGAGCACAGAAGCATGCTCTGTGGCATTTGCTATTTTAACACTCACAAATGGACATTTGTTTTCTATTTCAGCAGTTTTTTTACAGTCTTTCATTAGCAACTGCTGTTCCTGGCTTGTCAGTACCCCGGGTCTTGCATTTCCAGAGTCCATGTGGGCTGTAAATCCACCTTGGGTTGTACGAACTCTATTTTGGAAACTGCCACCCAGCTCATTGCAAAAGACACTTGAGGGGTGAAGGGTGGATATTTTTAAGAAATATCTCCTTTTTCATGACTGTCTACAGTGTTCAAGGAAGAAGCTTGTTTTGGGCCTCAGGGGACAAGCTCTTTTACACAGTTGTAACTAATCTTTTATTGATAAAATTTCTTTAATACAAACTTACCTGCTATGCATTCCAGTTTGTTGTACAACTTGTACAACTCTAAACTTGAATAAAGAAACATGAACACTGTCAGTGTGAAAACCACAAAATACACACCATGAAAGTTTAGATTTTCATTACAGTGCAGTTTTGTAGGGCATAGTGAACATTAGTTATCAGATGTATTGTCTGAAAGCAATGAATAAATGATCAGATAATCTGCACACCTCTTTTGAGGTCAGTTATTTGCTACAACTATGTCAACCTTTCATATTTTCTCATCAACTTCTCTTGCAAATCTAAAACCCAAGATGTYTTACAAGGCTTCATATACAAAAGCTTTGTGATAACTGCAAATTTAAAAAAATCTGCACAAGTAATAACTAAGCTGATTCAACATGCACAGTATTGTCATTATCCTGTACGTCCTTCCTTTCATTGTTTGTATTGATATTAGCTAGACATATCAGCTACCTCGACCTGGTTGAAAAGTAGCTGGACATAGAAAAAGCTTTAGAAAAAAGGCTAGAATAGGGCCTGTTTTATTTTTCTTTTGTTCTGCTGCAACTGAAGTAAAGYGTGCCTGCAGAATATAGTGGAAGCAGTTCTTCAAATTAGGAAGATGGCTGTTTTTCAGGGAGAAAGTTCCCAAAAGAAAAACTTACATTTATTAGGGTTTTTTTTTGCTATACAGTCTGTATTGCACGAATTACCTTGTATCAGCCTGAGCCACGAGGGATGAAAGGGGAAAAAAGGAACCATTCCAATATAATCCTGGGAAGTATGAACTCATACTTAATCAGACTGATATTTATGGTAAAAGCACACTCATCACAGACTGAAAAAGCAGCAATGAATATCATATTTAAAGATGTTTGTGAAATGAAACACCAGAGTTTAAGAGAACAACTCATCTTTTCAATACCATGCACAGGTAGCTAACAAGAGGTCTACAGTGAGCACTCACTGGTAGTGTCTACCTGCTCCTCAAGAAGAGCACTCACCTCTGTTAAGATGGGTTAYAGAATTCTAAAGCAAAAAATTAGAACAAAATGTTTAGTAATTACTAATCACTCTATAGATACAAACAACAGTTTAAATAGTTATTTTGTTCTTCAAGGCATTATGATCCTGAAAGTTAYTTCCATGAAGAAAACCAGGCTGAAGAAGGAGGGCCCAAGTAAAATAAAGACCTGTAACAGTCCCAGTAGGGCACCCACGAGCACACACTGGAGCAGCAGCAGCCCCTGGTGGCACCCAGATCCTGCCTCAATCACTACTGGCTTGAAAATAATCCTATGTGTCAAGTTCTGTTCTCACATTAAATATTTAACTTTTCACTTTATTTACTTAAATTTTAGGAATGTTCTATTCCTCCGCAATTAAAATTCAGGCAAGAGCTGCCCCATAGCTAGGAAAGGTGAAACCCAACAGGAACTGCACACTGCTAAAAAGCTGCAGCCAATGACACAACTACAAACATCCATCTATTGGGGAAGAACAGGAGAAACAGAAATATGATGTTGCCTTTCCACCAGCATGAAGCAAAAAGCCAACCAAGGTATCAGTATTATTATTTCCACTTCTGCTTCCTTAGGATGCTACATGAAAACCACACGTGTCCTCTGCAGTTTACATTGGCTACTCCTTCATCTCAAGCTGTAACTCAGTGTACTGAATTCAGCAGCAGAAACTGCAGATTTCTGCCTTAGCTGCTTGAAGAATTGCAGTTTCTTCTCTTCCCTCTGTTACCACACCGATGTTTTTCCAGTCAGTCCCATCACTACACTCCACCCAATTCTGAAGAAAATGAGCAGAGCAGCAATGCCTTTTCAGTGAAGGATTCTAAACTCAAGCTAATTTTGGCCCATGACCCCAAGAAAGGCAGTTTCTTAGACATCTTCCCAAAGGCCAATTAACAGAAGAATCAAAGCTATACATGTGATCACATATGCAGACCTATAAATGATCACATGTGCACAAAAACCCAACAAGAGAAGATGAATTTGTACCRGGCAAGGAAAATTACATGTACTGAGTGAGGTGAAGGAGACCTTGAAACATCTTATCTCTACTTGGCTATTTTTATTTCATTATAAACAAAAGAGATTTCCTAAAGGCTACACAAAAAATAAAATTCTGCAGTCAAAATAAAAAAAACAAACAAAATACAAAAGCAGCACCAGATTTGCAGACATTGTATACAGCCCTATAACCATGGGAGCTTAAAGGTTTAGTGCACACAAATCATAGAAGCAGGGGTTYTTAGAATAGAATTACGTGTTTATTGTTCACATTTGAAATACTTAGGACTTTCAGTGGTTCAGTCAGGAACCAAATGGATCTGTAAACTGAGTATCACTATAAAACAATTTAAAATGCCATGTAAAATAATATTYATGTATGCACGTGTTTCATTTCATGGTTTCTCAGCATAACCACTTTTTCTATTTACAAATATATAAAGATTTTGCACTTTAAATCATTGAGATATCAAAGAGGTATTTTCAAATCACAATAAATATAGAACCTGTTTTGTTAAAAATCTACAGTATACTGTACATTCAAGTCGAGGCAAAAGAGAATTTAATGCCAGTTACACTTGAGACAAATGAACATTTCCAATAATTAAACAATTTCTAAAAGTGCTATCTCTGTCTGTGATGAAAGGTAACATTAGGATCCAGTATTTCATTACAGTCAATTTCAGACCATTGCTTTATTCACAGAATTAGAGCTTCTGTTACTAGAAAAATATCAAAGCTTTTATATATTTTTTAATTATCTTCTTTCAAGAGTTGCAAGRAAGAGGCAAAAATGGTCTAAAAATAAAAGCCATGTGCACACACATAGAAACACACCACAATTCAGATCACCACATAATCCTCTAGAAGAATGATCAAACTCACAGCATTCTGTTTCATTTAGAATGATAAGTTTATGAACAAGTCTCTAACAAAAAACCCAGCAGGCAACCCTAGGAAGTCTAAGGCAGCTGTTCCATGTGCAAGTTTCTGCATAGCAGAGTGCCAACTCCAGAGTCTTCCCATGACTTTGTGCATTCTTCAGTTTCTTCTTTGTCATCACTTTCCACCCACAGATTTGGCATGTTATCTGCAGCAGGCTTTTCTGATGCAACACTGGAAACAAAAAAAAAGTTACAAGGCAAATAAAATGAAAGGAATCATGTTCAAACTGTTTGAATGGAAACAGAGTTTAGTATCCTTTGTTTTAAACCACAAGCCTTTGATTACAATTATAGCCGGTGCTCTACATAGAGTTCAGCACCCTAAAAACCATCTACAACATTGTTTCACAAACCTGTTTTGTGCAATATACTGAGATGTCTGGSAGGATTCTGCTGCAACAGAAGCACTCAACACAGAGGGAGGTTTTCTTTGTCGAGATGCAGACCTCACTAAGC